TCGCCGCCAAGGGGCTGGGCTGGGGCGCGTGGGCGCGGAGGGCGCCACGCAGGGTGGGCCCGGCCTTCTCTGAGCACCCTGCAGTGGGTTCTCGGGTTCTGGCCTTTTCCAGAGCCCTGCACACTACTGAGGGCTGCTCTAGCCCTCGAAGGACGGAGCGGGACAGGGAACCGAAGGGCTCCGAGCCCCAGTCCCCGGGAAACGCGTCAGACCGAGTTGGGAGAGAACCGATCTGGGGGTGCTGGGCGTTCATCCCGAGTGCCCGGCTGGGACTGCGCTCACACCCTCAGATTGAAAGAGGAGTCCAGAGACCTCAGATAGGCAGTGGTTTTGCCCAGGAGCAGACACCCTGAAGACTAGAGGTCCCGGGACTGCGCTCCTAATGCAAAAGTAGACTCTTCTGTTTGCCTCCAATTGAGCTAGTGCTGAGGAGCTGCAGATCCCGGCAACTGGGGAGAGGGCAGGTCTGGTTCCCCAACCCCCGGGCTGAGGACTCGGGAGCAAGAGGGGGGAGCCCCGAGGTAGGTCCTCCCGGAGGGACCCAGGAGAGCGACTTCACCGGCCACAGACGGGCACAGTCTTCCGTCTGAAAGAGCTCTTGCCCATCCCCTTCGGTTCGCAAGCTGCAGTAGGCCTCAGGCAGGCCCAGAGCGGGCCTCTCTCCCGGAGGGCTGCGGGGAGGGAGGGAGTGGGGAACCCGCGAAGGAGCTGATGAGCAAGGACCCCTCATCACCCAGCCCCAGCTCCCCTCTCACATTCCAGCCAAGTGTCGAGAAGCCCAGATGAGTTCTCGAGTGAGTGGCAGTCCTGAGTGGCTGTCACCTACCTGTGTCCTCCCACCTTCCCTGAAGTGTAGCTAAGGCGTGTGCGCTGTGACAGACTCGCACGTGTCGGAGTGCAGTGAGAGCAACGCAGGCGAAAGCGCGGGGTCCAGTACCCAGGCTAGAGGCGCGGGATGCTCGGCCCACAGTCACGCCACGGAGGGGGACTGCGGCCGGGAGCCCAGGGAGCCAAGCCTCCCGCTGGCACTGGCCCCGCAGTGGGGTGGCCGACCTTCAAAGGAAGAGGCCTAGGCACAGGAGGCGAGAGGACCCGAGGACCTCCCTGCCGCTGCGCAGGGAGCACAGTGAATTTCCGCCTCAGTGTGCCGGGGACCCGTACCGTAGAAAGCCAGCCTCTACCCTGCGCGTCTGACGATGCCTTGTTTTTGTTCCCGCGGGGGTCCGTAGGCGACCGCAGCCCGAGAGCCGAGGACGACAGCGCG